AGTAGCGCTGCCTCCCATCACCGTGTCACTACTACCGCCTGTCAGTTACCTGACAGGCTCCTGGTCTCCAACCACAGCGAAGCATAACGCTCGGTGAGGAGGAGCACTTTGGATTCAAACTGAATGACCGTGGTGAACATCTGAAGCAGCTATGTTGTAAAACAGTAGCAACTACACAATACAACCAACATATATGCACCTAAAATGCACCGATGTTGATTTACTTTATTGGGGAGCATCCTATTGATACAATCACTGAGGTGAGGTGGCATTTCTGATATGGGCGACATGGCCAACCACAGGGTGGCATTTTTTGGGGGGCAGACCCCTCCACCCCCCTGCCATCAGCCGGAGAATCTGGAAGTGAGCAATGCCTAATGCAAACCCTCTAAACCCCCTCCCAATTTTTTATATTTAAAAGGTCTTCCAGTTCCAGTGTTAAATGTTCTTTTGAAATTAGTTTATTGACCTCTGAGAGGGTCTATTTGCAGTGTTAGACAATTTTATGCTATTAGTTAACAATGGCTTCTAAGTGACAATATTATTGTTTATCACAATAATTTCTGGGACAATTTATTGCCAACCAGAATTTGTTATTGTGACGAGCCTAGAAACCGTATGAGGAGACAAAGCTGGAAGCAGTTACTCACAGTGGATCTTGTAGTCCTTGTACTGCCTGTCTTCAATAGCAGTGACATACAGTGTGGCTCTGTCCGGAAAAATCAGTCCATCTGGTTTCTGTTGGAAAGGTACAGTAGAAAAAAATAATAAAAACACACAGACATTGAGATCATTATTCTAAATGATGCATTTAACACATTATCATCAGAAACTATCCGGATTTGGGCCAAGTGCAGTTATCCATTCATGCCAGTCGGTTCCGTAGTCCACCAAAGGAAAACTACCTCCTACACCAAAAAGAATTTACTATAAAAGCCTGAAATGACTACTCGGATCCATCTCCTGATGAACTGCTCTTCAACTAATTTAGTTAGAAAATCTGTAAAATGTGCCAGATTTTTGTCCAAATTAATTAATCCATAGACTAAACCAGTGTTTCTCAACCTTTTTTGGGCCAGCGCCCCCCTAGTCTTTATCCAGGTCCCTCACCG